GCACACACACCTTAACATTATTTACAGTTCTTGTTTACGTTTTTCAATCGCGAGAGGGAGAGAGCGAGAGCGTGCGCGCGTGTATCAGATGCGAGAGCGCCTGCTGCTGCTAGTCTGGCAAGCAGTAAAATACTTGGGCTCCAGCTTAACAGAAACTAGTCGGCAAGAAACACTCAGCGAAGCAGCAACGCAAGCCGGAGAGTACGCGCAAGTGGCCGAGCAGCAGGATCGTCATAAATATGACGCATAGATGCGTACACATACATTAGTATAAATATGCCGTTACTAGTGAGCATAAGCACGCATTCCCCTAATAAACTCAACCAATCAACTGGAGCTTTTGCTTGTGCTATAAAATGAGAGCGGCGCGCATGTTTTCTTGTGAGCAACAAACTACGAGAGAGCGAGAGAGACAGAGAGGGAGAGCGAGAGAACGGCCAAGTGAGAGCGACAGCGAGAGGGAGAGCCATTACGACAGGCACGAATGAGAAATCAAAACAAATTGCAAAAGAATAGAGATTTTCAGCCTGCTTGTGTATGTTTTGACGAGCGTGTACCTAGCGTATGCGCACCGCACAAATAAAAATATACAAAAAATTATTTGCAGGCAACTTTGTTGCTGCAATTCACATACACGCACAGGCACACACACACTAATAACGATTGCATTACTTGCCATAAACAATTCCGATGAGTTATGAAAAAAAATGCACTAACAACATTCAAGTGCTGCTCTGCGGTTTCATGACTACGTCATGCCAGGCACGGAAATAATGGCGCGCTTTTTCCATCAAAACACAGAACACACTAATTGCAGCTATATATAAAAGAAAAATTTCATAAAATGGATATTTTATTTTTGTATTTTGTTTGGCGCTACACAATATTTTTGGCGCGCATGCATATCATTCGGCATTTGTCGTTTATATATTTTTATAAACAACATTGTGACTGCACCGAAAATTTCTCTACACTTTCTTTTCAACCACATCAATATAAACTACGCCTTGCTGCTGCTTGCTGCTGATTCGTATGGTCATATTTCAATCGCGTTTAATTGCCACTAAACTCACCTATTTTCAACTATCCTATTATACAAAACACCAACAACGTGTTTCCAAACATTTATAACGTATGTACGTAATTATTTGATACGATTATTTATGTTTTATAAATAAATTCCTGAAAAACTCTTCTTCCAAAGATACTTCACCAGCTAAGTGTGACCAGACTTAGTAAGTGTTGAAATAACTGGCGAAAGAACATAACGCAAATGTATCATAGGTAAACATGAGTTGTAATAGTTTGACTAAATGATACTTATAATTTGACAAAATAAATTATTCAGATAATATTTT